CTCTCTCTCTCTCTCTCTCTCTCTCTCTCTCTCTCTCTCTCTCTCCTCTCTCTCCTCCTCCTCCCCTCTCATGACTATTCAGGCCCTTGAAAAAGAGTGAGAGAATGTCGTGAGGCAGTGGAGTAATGTGTGTGAGAGGGAGGCGAGTGGTGTGTCGGGTGTGATGAGAGAACCAGAGAACAGTGGCAGGTACAAGCGAAAAGTGTCAATGATGTCAGGTGTGCACAATGATGCATCAGGTGTGGCACAGTGATACCAGAGGTGGGCTAACCTTAGTCTCAGGTTAGTCATACAGGACGACACCATCTTGGATTTTGCCCACACACAGGTAGAACTGGAGTACTGGTCCAACGATCATGTGTACTGGCTCAACGATCATGCATGTACCCGGCTCTAACGATCATGTGACTGGCTCTAACGATGTACCTGGCTCCAACGATCATGTGTACCCGGCTCCAACGATGTACCTGCCCAACGATCATGTGTACCTGGCTCTAACGATGTGTACTGGCTCCAACGATCATGTACCAACGACATGTGCACCACAACGATATGTGTAACCAGCTCTCAACGATCATAACTCGGCTCCAACGAACCTCGCATCATGTGTAAACTGGCTCCAACGATCATGTTGGCTCCAACGACGTAAAATTCGGTTTCAACGAGATCATGTGTACCGGCTTCCAACGATGTACTCGGCTCCAACGATCATGCGTACCTGGCTCTAACGTTATGTGTACCACCAGATCGAATATTACCTGTTCCAACGATCATACTCAACGATCATGTACTGGTTTCTCAATCATGTGTACCACAACGATCATGTGCGGCTCCCAACGATCATTATTACCCGGTTGCAAACGATCAAGTGACAATTCGGCTCAACGATCATGTGGTTACCTTGGTGTTCCGCCATGATTGATGCACCCGCTGAAATTTAACACTTTTTTAATAAGTCAAATCACCACATTCCGGAAAATTAATACTCGGACAGTTTTTTTTTTCTTCAGGAAGTGATATCAGCGCACCAGCTGGTGATGGTGTTGGTAGAAGTTGGCGGAGGACCGGGGTTGTCGTTTTTCTAACCTTTGATGGAAACTTTTAGCCTTCTTTGTACCTACTGGGACCCCAGACCTGGCAAGCTCCACACCCTCGTGTGTAACTTTTGTTCTATAATTTCACTGCCGTCGTCCTTTGGTTGTGTGTGTGTGTGTGAACGCCAGGTCACTTTCAGCGAGGGCAAGAGTTGTGATCTCACTCAGTAATGGGGCACAACCATGTATACTTTCTTTTTCAGTAGTGTAGTGCCTGGTGAAATAATATACTGTGGGGAGGTCACAGCGGGTGGTAGTGGGCGGCATGACGAGGCACGGGCAAATGGGGTCACCTATTGTGTAGATATAGACGCACCGAGACGGAGATCCGAGGCAGGGAGGGATAGATGGTGATGGACGTGGTGGGTGAGACGCAGCCGATAAAGGGGGGGGGTAGAGGAGAAACCGGTTGGTGAATGAGGTGAGACATAATAGGAGTGAATGGCGTGGGGCGGGGACTATGGGTGGTAACAAGTAAGGTTGACGTCATGGCGTGGGAGAGGTGGAGCACTAGCGGAAGTTGTGTGTACTACTACATGATGGCGCTGTCAGATGCCCATGGGAGGGGAGGGGTGTGCGATTGTAAGGTGGAGGTGTCCCTGTACGGCTCACTTATTAACTCCAACAAATGTTGAGTACGAACCGACCTCGACCCGCCCACTGCCATTTATTGATTCTCGTGTGGATCGATTTGAGAAGCGACCTTCTGCATGAATGTGTATTGCCATTACCGTACAATCCAGGTACTTTTTATGGGTACAGCAGCAGTTCGTTCGAGGAGATTAAAAAAAGTGACATATGTGGATTTTGTCAGGTATCCTAGGTTTATCACCCCATTAAAGAGTGCAAGCACAGTGACAGGCTGTGTGTGCTGCTGTTGGTAGATGTTAGTTCGGTAAAAGTTTACAGTCACAAAACCACACACTTAACGCAGGTGTATTCATGCAAACACAGGTACCACACAAAGTAACAGGTGTACCCACATCAGCAACACAGTACTCACAGTAACACAGGTGTGGCCATCAAAAGTAACAGGTGCTCTACACAAAGTAACAGGTGTACTTACACAAAGTAACAGGTGTACTTACACAAAGTAACACAGGTGTACCTACATCAGTAACAGGTGTATTCATTAATAAAGTAACAGGTGTACCATTATCAGTAACAATAGTGTACCCACAATAAAGTAACAGAAAATTCAATAACAAAAGAGGTACCTATAAAGTAACAGGTGTGTACCAATATCAAAAGGAAAATTTCATGCAAAGTAACAGTTGTACTACACAAAGTAACAGCTGTACCTACACAGCAACATGAGGGTCCACCGAAGTAACTTATATTCATAGTAACAGGGCCAGCTACTGTAACAGCAGGTAGTAACTGATGTGATTTCGATACAGACATTTGATGACACATTCACAAGATATAATACAGTAATGCATATACTTGTGTTTCAGGTGTATCTGAAAACAGAATATTCTCAACAAAATATTGTAACATTTTTTAGTACCGTACATGTAATTAAGTGAATGTCATATACCGTGTGTAACGCATGAGGAGGTGGAACTAAAATACATTAGTGTGACATTTTAAGCACTGAAAAGTATAGTACAAGTAATTAGACAAATGCTCACATACAAACATTATCTTGTACAGTATTTATGCTTGTACTATACTGTACATTTTAGGTAGTAAAGAGCTGTAGAATATATTGTTTCTCGTCATGTATAGAAACATCCGGATTTTCTCAGAATACTTGAGACCTAAAATTATTGATAAAGACCGTGATCCCCTCATACCGTAGTGGAGATGATGGATTACTGCATACCGTATTCCTATTAAGGTTCCGAAACCGGGTCTGGCAAGCAAATTAGAGAACAAGGATTAAGGTAGATACACTGGTACCTTGTTTTGCCACTGCATCAGTATCCAGTGTAGTAAGAAGCTATAGTCGTGGTCATAACAGGAACCAGACTTTTTCAGACTAAACAGCCAATGATTGCGAATAATACTGTGGTGTTGTACTACTACACTGTATAAATACAGATTGAACACTCGCCTCAATGATAGTAATCTTAATTTACTGAAGGAAAATATAGTGTAGTATAAATAATTTATATTTTCCTGTGCCTTTGAATTGACACACTTGAGTGTATTAGGCAATCTGTGTTCTTAAAATACTTCTACTTACCGCCTTAAATGATTTAAAAAAACACATGTCTTTCTCAAATATATGTTTATAACACTCAAATACAGCCTCCTGAGGTTTACAGTGAAGTGTACTGTACTGTACTGTACCGTACTGTACATCATTTCGTTCGCCCTTTAATCAACCCATTATCACCACACTGTTTCGTTTCTGCAACTTTTCCATTATCTAAAATGCCATACTTATTTTTATTTTCTTTGTGTCAAGTTTTGTTTCACACAGCCTTGTTGGATTCTTGATTCTCAGAAATGGCCACCACCTTCTTGGAAAGGACTCCGAGTCGCGCGATGTGACATTGATGACCTCTGGAACAACTGTCACCAGAGCTGGAGACAAATGGGAGAAGTTGACCCAGATGTAGTATATTGTACCGTACATTGTGACTTAATTGATTTAGGGAGTTAGAGGAGACTCCGTACCAGCCAAAATTTATTTTACTTTGAGCAGAAAACAGGCACAAAGACTTGAAGCTGCAATATTATATTATTTACTGTATTTTGCTTATATTTGTGGACGTGAGGGATTTCAGACTTCATCTTTGTTGAAGAAGCAAACCATTGACCCAACACAACTTGGCGATGATACCCTCGGGATTAATTCTAAATGATATAATGTGAAAAATGTAAGTTTTTCAATTTTTAAGGAAGTAATAGTAAATGTATGCTTGTGTACAATAACGTTGTTTTCAAATAACAATATCTAGCGCAGACCAATATTTCACACAGTACCGTACAGTATTGCTGTATACTGTTTCCCAAATTGTAACAGAATTTCGATAGTATAGTTATGCACTATACTGTATATCACCTAAGTATTATTATTAACAGTGTATCTTTACAGGATTCATTAGTCCCACCGAGAACGTAACAGCGTGAAAAGGCATACAGGTCCTGAACAGTAAACACCTCATAGCACCATATAAATAACCAACACAATGAACCAGAACGTACAGAACTCGTCCCATTTATTGCAGGGACCATAAAGAGCAGAAAGAAGATGAAGATGTATTAGAACCGATATGCTACGAAATAATACATTTTTTAAATATTTCATATTAGAATTTACATTTTGTGCACAGTACTGTATTAAAGAGAATCATGTATTAAATTTCACTAATTCACATAACTGATAGCTAATTTGTAAGTATTTAAATTATTTTAACCTTTTTACTATTGGGATGCCACTTTTAATATCTTGTCTAACACCAGACAATTTTATTATGATGAGAGACCCATACACAGGGGGAATTACTGATTCAAATTTAACATCAACCAGAACACCGCAGAATATTTTTAAAAACACACATGACCGACTGTTGTTAGTTTTACAGTTTTTACCACGCTTAACATCACAGTTACTAATGTTCATTAAACCACTTATTTTATCAGTATCTCTTTATCCCACAGCTGTTAGAGCTAGTGGAAGTTTATCATAACCATTGCCAGGTGTGTGTGTGTCCATCAGGGTGTCTATTTAACTAGGTTTTTCATTTCAAAATAAATATTTTAACACAACATAACCTCCAATTTAGACAAAGCACCAGACTATGTTGTGTTTAATGAAGTTGTAACTGAGAAAACTATCTTCATCAAAAACATTGGGTTGCTCCCCAATACCTACAGAACCACAGGATGATGATGATGAAAGCTTCAAATAAGTTGAAGTAGATCTTGATGAAGTTTTAAACACAGCCACTGAGGATGAGATTGTTGACCTAGCTGGTTAGTTATATTGATCTGCATTTACACTTACTTATAACAGCAAGAAAGAAACCTCACCAAACTGCACATTAAGTAAATGACAGTAAGAGGAACGAGTGTCTTTTGAGAAATTAGTAACATTTTCTTGATCACGTGTATAAGCTGCACAAAAATAAAAGCATTTTACTATTATTATTTTGCATTATGGAATGTATCACTGGATAATGTTTTTAATAACATTGTTAATTCAAGGTTTGAGATGCAGTATTATACCCATATATTTTCTTGTTGTTCAAACCACAAATCAACATATTAACTATACAGTGATCCCTCTAGTAATCAGATTTCGGTAAACAAATTACCTTCCATGAATTCTTACCTCGTTAACAAGCAATCCTCGATTAACGAATCTCTACCAGCCTCAACACCATTTCTCTTGCATTTGCCAAGCCCACCAGCCGTAGTGTGCAGATTAATCCGCCAATACAGTAATTGGTTCTAGGGTTTAACCTCTTTTAGTAAATATCAAGAAGTTTGTACTTTTCAATAATTTTAAAAGTCTTATATTAATTTTTTAGTTATTTAACAATTATTGAAACATAATGAAGCAGTAAGTTTTTACCAAACAGCTCTACACACCATACAGGCCAGCTCTGCTCTTTTCAGTGGGGGTAACATCTGTCGACTTCCTCTTCAACATACGCGTGTTTCCAAGCAAATTATTGGTCATTTTGAAATTTATTTTACATATTGACAATATATAATGCAGTGCAGTGTTAATGAAAGAAAATAGACCAAAATTTTATGGGAATTGCGCCATGGGGTGACTTCTTCCACCCCAATGCCTTCTCCCTTCTTCCACCCCACCACCCCATCATCATCATCATCATCATCATCATCATCATCATCCAGGAGCCTCTACATACACCAGTAAGTGTACTTACTACCTTTTTGTTGACTTTAGCAATTTTCAGTGAGGAACCACCACCAAAACCCATTGAAACAATGGTTTCTCGTTAATTAGCAACCTTCTAGAACGAATTGTGCTCGTTAACCGAGGGACCACTGTACTTTTAACTGCAAGATATCTGTTTATATTTAACAAAGAGATAACATAATAAGAATAATCCTGTTCCACCTGATTAACAACTTATTGTAGAAAAAAATTTAGCGAATCTTCAAGTAAAACTCATTGTGAGAGAGAAGGAATGAATGTGAGGATAAGCGGGGTGTTTAGACTTTAAAGTGATGTCATGAATTGTATTTCTTCAACAGCTATCTTGGGCTTCCACTCCATGATGAACCAGGAACAGTATCATGCATCACTACTCAACAAAGGCAAACCACTTGGTGTTGGTTGGGGTGGCATCACAAAGGCAAACCAAGCCCCTCCCTGCTGAACCCCCCAATGACACTGATATTGAAGAGAGCATCAAGAAGCTAAAGGACGATGATATCAACTGCAAAGACCTCAACTTCAACAATATTAGGGTAAGGTGTTGTGTCAGTGTTTTTAGCCCCTTACGTACAATGCCTTAGACCCTTAAGCGCATTATCTTGACCCATAGTACGATATCTTAACCTCTTGAGTGTGATATCTTGATCCCTTGAGTATGATCATCCTCAAAGGGTTAATCATGTTCCTGCCTTCAAATTTTCATGGTAAAGAAACCCTCAGTCTTAATCAAGGGTAAATAGGAGTGAATTTCGTGTAATGGAGAGAATTACAACAAGTAGGTGATACCACCGTGTTGAATCTGGGTTCTCTGAGCCAGTGTTACCCAAACTTATCAACTTCATGGACCAGTGGAAAATGTGAAATAAAGTGTGACCAGTAATTGTAAATATTTTATATATAGAATTTATACTGTATATTCATAGTACATATACGGTAGACCCTCGATACTTTATGAGATTAAGACCAGTAATCACAGGTAAATATCATTTTCACAATACTGTATGATATATTGTTCCATAACTTATCATGGAGGAAAATAGGATACAGGACCAGAGACTCAAAAAGTTGTGTTATTCCTGTGGTCCTGATATAAATTTTTCATGTTTTGTTTTTACTGAACATCTTTAGGGAGCCTTCTGGCCTCTTGCCCATTAGTATTGACTGGACCATGGCCGAGTCATGGTGTACCAACTATGACAACGAATATAATATATGCTAATGCTGATAATGTAAAGAAAGTGTGGCTGCTTATTGGTGCTCGTTTAGTGTTTATTAAGACTTTTTTTACCAAAAGTTGCTCCAAACAAAGTATGATTTGTTTCACTTAACATTTATTCAGGGTTGCATCCCAGCATGAATAGAAGACTTACTGTTATTGTAATTACAGAGGGTCTTTGGCAGGTGTTACTCTACCATATTGAAATGTTGTTTAAAGATAAGGAATTATTGAAAAATGTGTTACTTTTTATTTTCTCCTAATTTTCACTTTATCTTTTTGTCGTGAAGGAAGCCAGTTACTGTGTATGTTAAGATTGGAACTTAAATTTTGTTTTACAGGTTGAAATGATCTTACTATCCTAGCTAGTGGTATAAACATATGCATTATATCAGCTTAGATAGTTTTCAGTTTCTATTCTGTCTGTAGCTACCAGTGATAGAACTTGAGGAAGGTAAAGTAACTGATCCCATACTTGTTAGTAAATATGAGGACAACCATCTTACCATACTCACTCCAGTACAGTAATAGGAATCTTCATTTTCAATAGAGAAATTACATGTTCAGTAATTTGAGAATATCTTTTATTTTTCTACAAATGTCATAAACTTTTTTTTGTGATTGGCTAAACTTGTTATTCAGTGAAGCTAGTGTCTATGAACAGAATAATATAATTGATAGGATACTTGATTTACCTCAAGCTATTAAGATATGGTAAAATTGTTTCATGTGTTTTACTTAAGAAATAATTTATTTCCAGAATATTTCTGATGAACAGCTCAAACGCCTCTTTGATACCTTGGAGATGAACACAAAGTTAGAAAGTCTGAGCATGTCAAATGTTGGTTTGTCAGATCGAAACCTAGATGCTCTTGTCAACTCTACAAACGAACAATGTACTCAGGACACTAAGGAAGGAATATGTTACCTTTATCCATCTCTGGTTTATAAGGAACATGTTACCTTTATCCGTCTCTGTTTTATAAGGAATGTGTTACCTTTATCTGTCTCTGGTTTGTAAGGAATATGTTACCTTTATCCATGTCTGGATTATTTATATAAAGAGAGTATTAAATTATTCTTAAAAATTAATATTAATTTTATAAACATACAGTACTTGATCATTTGGGCAAGATACTGAGGCTATATCCATGAATGAAGATGGTTTATATTTCTCAACTGATAATTCTCAAAAAAAAGATACTGAATATTTATTGAATTGCTTATATTACAAAAGCTATTGAAAAATTTATACTGTATCATGATTACAAAAGAGTTTATTGTGGGTACCTACCATTAGCTTAGTCATTTAAGATATATTTCTTTTCAGAAACTTGAGAAAAGCTTTATAAATAAAAATTTAATTTAGTTTGAAGCTTCAAATCATAATTATGTAGGTTATTGGTATTTCAAAGCTCTAGTTTCCAGTTATAACCTGTATTTGATTTTAAAATTTCATCTGAAGCATGTTTCATCATCAGTGATTGTTGAGTTTCAAAGTTAATCCAAGCAACATTTAGGTAAAGGCAACAGAATTCTTGATCTATGTAATCAGTTGGGTACAGATTTAAGCATAATGTCAAGTCATGTATCCAAAATTCATTTTCTAGGGAAACAAGCTTAGAGTAATACAGTACAGTACTTGATAGTTAAATCCTCATTTGTTGTATTCATCTTGTATATTTTTTTTAAATCTGTTACACATTTTCTAATATTCTCAAAGATACAGTACATGTAAATTACTGTAATGTGAAAATTCTTATTGCTACTTTATTTTCAGTTTGGAGACGAACAACATTAGCCCGGCAGGTATTGTGATTGAAGCCCTTCTAAAAAATCATTCAGAGAAGAGATCCGCCTTGCAAACCAGGTACAGTAATGCAAAACTTGATTTCATTTGCAGCGAGAGCTAGCCATACACACTTTGTATTTAAATATATACAGTACTTTTTTTCTCTCTCTCTCTATCTAAATATGGAAGTTTTTTGTACCCCTGACTCAGGATACAAGGGAATGAAACAAATGTGAAGTGACAGAAATGACAAGTTTGAGAGCAGTGTGAGCTGTATACAAAGAAAAAGAAAGACAGATATCAATAGATGTAGAAATATAAAGATATTTTGGACAAAAAGTGAATTAATTTGCTTAGGTGGTGTGGACTAGTGAGAAAGTTGTAAGTTTTTGTCCTAAAATGACTGAAAAAAATTCAGAGGATTTGTTTATACAGAAAATACTTGTGTACTATACACACAAGTATCGAAACCAATTAGGTTTATCTGAGGTGTGTTATTGTATGAAGCTTGACTATCTGCTAATACTATTGGGAAAATTTTATATACCAACCATCCTTACCCTTATTCTTAGGAGGTAGGGTAGCCCATCCCCATCTCTTCATGGTGCATGCCATTACATAGTACACTTTGTGTCTGTTCAAGTGGAACCAATGGGGAGGTGCTGCTTAACATCCAGCAGTTTGTTTCTTTGTTTTTTCCTGATCTGTGTCTTTAACCTATTTTCTTCTGATTGGTTTTGTTTTTAAGCTTTGCTTAGAGTTTTCCAGACAGTTTGTTAGCATTCTCCTCATAATCTTGGTTAGGTTAGGTTAGGCTCAAAACCAAATTTTAAAGAGCATATAGATTCGCGGGTTACGAGTTGCAACTTTCATGTTCTAAATCTATATGCTGTTAAACAGTTTTGGATAGACAGTGCCTTGTGACACTATTACATTCACTTTTTTGTCTCGGGTTGACTATTGTAACTCTTTGTGGGTCTGCCTACCTAATGATCTACTGAAGGAAGTTCAGACAGTTTTGGACAGAGTTGCCAGGCTTATTTTACTCTCCCTTCGAGGACACCCACTACCTCATTCTTGATTGAATTGCTCTGGCTTCCAATTAAAGTTAGGATAGAGTTTAAACTCTGCCTAAAGATTGGGCTAATTTACTAAATCCTTTGACCACAAGTTCTGAAGTTAATTTGCATAGAAGTGATGATCCTTCATACCTTGAGGAGCCTAGACCAGTATGGGAATGTTCTTATGCTGCCCGATCCTTTTCCTATACAGCGGCCAGATTGTATAATCGGTTGCCTGCATCCATGAAACAGCTGACTTCTATTGAGGCCCCTGTGTACAATTGTTCAAGTAAAGGTGGAGATTATTAGCATGGTGATATCTCCATTAGCCAGAACAATTGGTGCCGAGCTCTTGCGGGAATTATTAAGTCTTTATAAATCTTCATTTTATTTATTTATTCATTTAAGTTTCAAAACTTGGTTGTGGTGTTGCTGTTTGAAAATGTAGGAAGTGAAAGCTAAGTGTGTGTGTGCTATCTTATGGCGGGCGAGTGTTCTTGGTAACAAGATTGAGATGCAGCTCACAGACATCATTGAACAAAATCCCACTGTCCTACGTGTTGGCGTCCACTTTGAGTTCAACGATGCTCGCAGCGTGTCTCTAAGCACCTACAAAAGAATCTGGACACCTGTGAGTATGGGGGGGTCTCTGGTATCATTTCATAAGGGTTCACCAGTCACCTACATGGATTCGTCACACCTCTGTTGTGATTTTGGTGCTGATGAATTTTATGATAAATATTGTTAATTCTAGTTGATAATTGTGTGTTTGAAGCAGGTTTTCAGGTCTGATAAGTTGCAGGTAATAATGGTTGGACTTGCAAGTTTAAAAGAAGTTTTAAATGAGGTAATTTACTTCAGCTTTTTATTCTTTGCTTTGTTTTAGTTTAGTTGCATATACTGTAGGTGCTAATTTAGCTAAAGCTTGGTAAGTGATGGAAGCCTCTAATATGCATTTTGTCATAAATCCAACACTTCATCAATTTCTAACTCTTGGAAGATGTGATAGTTGATCAAGATTATATGCAGTATTGGAATGGTCATCTTTCTATAGTTTTTATTTTTTTAATTCTCCTGTAAACAGATCGTAATTTGTTTTAATGATTTTATAAAGTAATTTTAAAAATTTGAAAATTAAGAAGTTTCCATGGGTATGGATCATCAGAAATATATGACACCATTTGGAAAGAGGTTATTCCTATAATTTTAAGGGACTTGTTGTACACTCGTGGTTACTAGTTAAGGCAAAAAGGAGTCTACATCATAAAAGACATCCCTGTTTTTTGTTTTTGTCATGTTCACTTTTTTCCACATGGTCATGGCAGTCTTTCACAAATATTTTCACATGGCTACCACCCATCAGCAAACTGTAATGCCACTCCTCAAAATATTTGAAAAAAAAAATGTATTTTGAGTCAAGTTGTCACATACAAGGACAGTTTGTGAAGCTTATTTTTAGTTACACATTGGAAAGTGCGATAAGAATGTATAGTGTTCCTTTACAGTTTTTGGCACACATTTATCCTGAATATTGAAAGTGAAAGATTGACCTTGGAATGGTTTCTATTTGCTGTGAGATAATATTATTTAATATTTTATAGAATTGACTTTGACTGTTAATATATGAAATGGATTGTTTGTTTGGAATGTTAATTCTGCTTTAGCATTTATAAGATTAAAATTGGTAAATGAACCTTGGAACAGAGACTGACCATGAGAATATCATAGTTACTGAAACTACTGTATAGTTTCTTTTACTTTCAAAATATCATAATACTACTTTCATAAACTTTACAGTACAGTAGACACCAAGTTGTAAGTTTGTTTATTTTTTCATGTTTATTTTTATCAAAGACGATTGTAAATAGGGCATCATCAGTATAAGAATTCACGATTAGATACCAGGTTTCTCATTATATGCATGTCTTGGGGTGTCAGAATTAAATTCGGTATGTTCACTTAAAAGTTTCACTTCCTTGTAAGATTATGTAGATAAGCCATTGTGAAGAACTTGAATAATGTACAGTCATACATTTCAGATTTAATTTGAGGCTTCAAAAAAACAATAAATGTGGCCTTCCCACATGAGGTATTACTGTATTAGATAATGAAATACTTGCATTACCTACTTGGGTATAGAATGAAAAATTACTCCTGATGTATAGAATATCTGTAAGGCAGTGGCCCTAAGCAGTATTTCCAGTTCAGGAAATATTATATAAAACAAGACATATAATTTGAGAAAAGGTTAATGGTGTAGATATTAATGGGTAAAATTGCATGTAGGAGGGCCAGGGAAGGCAGAGGCTGAATTAAGAGTGAGATTAAAGGCTGGTTATCCAGAGATAAAAAATCTGGGATGATTGGTAAAGACATGTTGAAAACAGTTGGAGTGGAGGCCATCATCTCCAGCATTTTGATGAATTGAAGATTTTGACAAGACAAATGGCATTATTATTAGCTCATTCTTCTCATTCATCAGATCATTAAAGAAGCCAGTTTTTTTCATTTGCTATATGCTTTGCTTCCAGTTGATTGTGTTTTAGTAATTCCTATATCTTATTCTTTGCTTAGAGGCTGTAATTCAATAAGAATTCCCCTTTTTTATTAATTCATCCTTGGCTGTCCTACAGCATAAAATATTAATACAAATGTATGTAGCTGTGCATACACTTAGGTAAGAAAATATTCATTCTTATAGAATGTTTATGCAAACTTTAACTCTTTATTAAAGACTTCTTTAAAAAAATATATTGGTAAATTATTTTTTTGTTGCAAAAACCTTCCATTGACATAGTCCTGTGAAGCATAAACCCTTTCTAACACCACATTTTGTCAAGGGAATTATACCTTCCCTAGCACAGCAGAAGTAAAGGATAAATATACAGAACTAGAAAGGGGACTTGGTTGTCAAGGGCCCATTGCTTGTTGTGCTTTTTTTTCTTCTTTTCAGCGTGAGAGGAGTGTAATAGTAATATACAGTAGTGTAGCGTAGACTTCTCTACTTCCCCATTCATGTAAGGTTGGTGATCCATGTGGGGGTAGAGAATGCTCACCGGACGGTTCTTTTTGTTTGAGTTTTTTTTCCAACTTGGCCCTTTCACCCTATCACTTTGATTGAGTTTGTTCCCATTGAGTAAAATATAGTTGATTTAGGGAATCTTGTTATTGCATCTTTTTTTACATTCCCTTCTTGATATAAAGATTAAGTTATTGGTTTGCTTGTTGTTAGGTGTGAAGCTGTTGACAGTTCTTACAGTAAAGACATAAGAAGTATTGGTTGTAGTCTAAAAAGTTTTGAGTAAGGACTGTCCTTGGCTTCCCCTATTATTCCTGTTTGTATTGGACTGCATTTTTTGAATGATTTATGCAGATTTTCTCTTTCAGTGGCTTCTGATCCTTGTTTCCTACTTCCTAGCACTTATTTGTATTTTTGATCCTCTGATGGTTAGGCCTGCACAATCTCTGCATTAAGAGAGCTGCTTTTGAGCTGTTTGCACACCCTACATACTGTAGTTGTGATAAGTTTTCAGCATTTTGTCTCCTTTAAGAGTTGTGATGTTGCTATCCCAGGGGCCCACAGATTCCACAACCCAGGTACCAGACATGATGAAACACAAGATAAACTATCCATATTTTTCCATATTTCCAGTCCGCATAGGGGGAAAGCCCCGAAAACCAAATAGAGCCATGGCTCTTCTCAGAAAGGAACATCGCTATGGTTTGCCGAAGAGGATCTAAAGACAAATAAGAATCTATTCTACAACACTAATGGACAAGATCTTTAGGATCAGATGGTAGTATTTCAAGGTACAGTGAAGCCTGCAAGTGATGAGGACAGCTAGAGCCAACAATTTGAGTTTGGCTTATTATTATTGTATTTATTCTTCTTGCTATTAAATTTAATACAACTATTACTAGAATTATTACTTTATTTTGTAGTTTTGAATTGGATGTTGCTTTCATATTCTTTTGAGCAGAGCGAGGATTTCTTCTAACGTGTGGAGACCCATGGATTGTCTCTGGTGTTCAGTAGAATAGGTTCTTTTTTTCTTTAACTTGGGTAGCACAGGTAATTCTTCTTCTTCTCTCTATTTCACTGTTTCTATGTGCACTGGCAGTCCGAGTTGGTGTCACAGTGCGCAGAATCACGCGGAAGGTGACAACAGAGGGCGCAAGCTTTAGCTTCGTCCTGCCTTCTTCTAACTCCCCTCCAGCTTCCCCCCTGCCCCCATCACCCCTTCCTTCTCAGGATGAGGTTAATGAACTCCCATCAGTAAATGGGGAGAGGCAAGCAATGGAGGACATAGAAAATGAGATGGCCTTTGAGGAGGATGATGACTTTGATGATGAGGAGGAGGAGGAGTGAAGGTGATTATGAGGAGTAGGATTAACATGAGAAAAAGCAGCTGAGTCAAAGTTTTCTCACTGTAGTGCTGCTATTCATGGTCAAACTTAAACTGACTCTATAGGCCTTTATACTGTTTTAATCTGATTTTAGAGAATGCATTTTCTTTGGGTCAAAAAAGAAATTTGAAAGAAAACCACAAGTTTTTTAATTTGTTGTTTATAAAAATAAAAAGGTAGTTGTATACAGTATAAGTATTTTATTTGGAAATTATATTATATACTGTAATTACTGGAGACTGCAAACAATGCATTTATCAAACATAAAGTTTATAATTGTTCTGCAATATTCTTGTCATTGAATCAAAGATATTATTATGAAGTTTTTATTCAATGAATTGTTTTTAAAAGAAATTAGTTACATTTTAACTGTGTTCATATTTTATTTTTGTTTATGGAGTCTCTCTGAAGTTTGTGTTTGACCGTGATTGGCTTCAACAGTGTAATTATATCAGTTAAACCTCCAGTTGCCTGTATAGTACTTAGGACAAGCAGGACAAACATAGATTTTTGTTTTACAAATCCCCATACCTCGGCAATGATACCCATAGATCAATAGAAGGCTTAATAGCATCAGAACTTTTGTGTTTGTAAATAGATAAATGTGAATTATATTTTTCTTATTAATGCTGTTAAAATTTCACTAATTATGTAACATTGACTCTGTCTAGATATTACTTGTAACATTTTTATGGAAGAACTATAATTTTCACAATTTTTATTCTTCCGTGGATCTGGTCCTCCCAGAATTTTATTTTTATTTTCTGTATGGCACATCCCCGATATCTAGTTTAACAGTGCACTATCATACTGTATTACAACTCTGCTTTAGTTGTCTTTTATTTTAACTGCCTAATTTACTCTTTAATCATCTTTCATTCTTACATCCAAGTTATCACCACATGATGAACACTTTCCTTTCCTCCTTATTTTTTCCTCAAACACCTGCTTAATGTGTTGGTTTTAGTTTGCTGTGAATCTTTCCCTTCAAGTGGAAAAGGCATTGTGAGTTTAGTTTGGCATCCTTTTTGGTTATCCTTAACCTTGGGAATCATTTGAAGAGGCATTGGGTGTAAACTTTCACTCTCCAGATTGTGTGTGCCTCTTCTCTCTTTCTCTCACTCTGGAGAGCTTTGACACTCTCCAGATAATTGTGTAGTGATGTATCATCATTTTTAATTCGACACTGTTGTGGCTTCTCAGACATTGTGATTGTTCCTAGAATTTCATTTTAAAATCCCTTGGCGGGCTTACTGCAGACTGTCGGGTGTTGCTGCGAGGCGGACCACCCCTTGGTCCTCTTCACCCTCATGCTGAACAGAGCAAGGGTCAGGTGACTAGAGCCTGAACCTTAGGCGACCCAAGCCTGTGAGTGCCACCAGTATGATGCCTACACCAGAGTGATGGCCAGGCATCAACAAATGGGACCACTAAGATGGCACCTCCAAGATCTTGCTGATTGATTGATCCTGAATATCTTTAATATCTTACTTTATCTTATCACTATTCTTTACCTTTTAAGAGATAATTTATTTCTTTAGTAAATTGAAATAATATGTTAATTTGATTTGCAAAATGTGCACAATTTAACAAGATCATTCCGAACAAGGAACATTCTATCAGTGTGATTTTGGAGCACCTTTGACTGACCAAGTGACTCACAAGCCACAGCTTAAATTCATATTCAACATCAGACAAGATCTCTCCAGGTCTGCTAATAATGTAACCAGCGCTTTACTGTATACCAAATTACTTAATACAGCATTTCTTCAGCATAATAGGCAACTTATGATATTGCAAATGATCTGTTTCCCTGCTGCATTTATAACTTTGTATTCAGGAGAAACACGACTTAATTGAATTTTATGAAATGTTTTGAAAGATTTCTGGTTATTAGATAGAAGAATTTTTCAATGGAACATAAAAAACTTGGAGGAACTTAATGTGACAATAATATTTTGGATGAGTATCATATTAGGTAAGTTTGGTGGGTAATCTTGTATCTCCTGAACACTTTCTTCACAGCATAATAACACATTGGTGATCCTTGTTCTGTATTAATAATGCCTTATGTGTCTGTCATAGTGCTCATTAACAAATACTCCAGTCTAATACTTTACAGTTGGATTTGTATATTCATTACATATAAAAGTATGCCATTGCAATTTTTAATCATAAAGCTTAGAATAGATATGCTTTAAAAGAATAGATTATTTGCTTTAAAATGTGAACCATTACTAACATTATTAACAAGGAAGCTTTTCCAAATGTCTTTTAGAAAAGTTGTAAATATGTTACTAATTTACTACTTTGTTATTACAGATTGATAACTCTATACTGTACACTAATGGCATGATTCAGACTTCAGTGTTAGCATTTGTAAATCTATTCAGATTTTTTTGAAATTACAAAAATCTCAATATGTTCATGCAATTTTTTTCCTGTTGAACAGTTTTTTTCATTTTTGAAAAAGATGAAAAATTAAGTGCAGAATTATAAACAATGCTTTACTAATGCTACACTGAATCTGAGAAACTGATCTATCCCAAATGCACATAATATTACTAGGTACCATTTAATAAGTAGAAATGCCAATATTTTATTTAAACAACTAATTCCAGTAAAAACAAGATTTGATAACTAAAATATTATGAAATACATTACACCTTTGAAATGAAATGTTGCCCATGGGAAAGGTCATTTAGCATTCTTTAGTCAGTACAGGAGTTTCGAATGACAACTCTCTGTCCTGTTTATTTCAGTCCGCCTTAGCAGGATCGGTGCTTCAAGCGATCACTAGAAGCTCCCTAGGTAGTACTAGCAAGATCTTTTTACTGTTTTGTCTAGTTGTTTCTCTCTTCATGCACATAGTACTGTCCACATAACCCAGTGATTGATATACTCCTTCCAAGCTGCCTTAATACCGTAATCATTTAATTATAAATAGATTAGTAAAGAGTCATTAAATTTCCATGATTAATGATATTCTTAGTGGTTTGGAATTAGATTATATGATTGTTGGGTCAACAATGCTTGTGGGCTACAATTTAAAGCACAAAAAGACTTTAGCTTTGCTTTCTTAGATTAATCAAAAGAGGTGATGATTTCACAATGTTCAGTGAATGCTGTAGGTGATGGTTCCACTGCATCTGCCTATTCTACTGTACTTTCACTGCCCTCTGTAAGTGTATCTGCATACTGTAATGTTCTTACTAAAGACAATTAAGGTGTTTGGTGGCAGTGGTGACATTACCTGTGATAATTTTTCTCTTTGCTTCTCTTATATATTCAATACTGTAACTGATTTAAATAATTATCCGATTCTACGGAACAACTTACTCATCTTAGGAATTTGGTTAACCATAGTTTAGGTTATCATGTAGGTTTTAAGCTGTTTGTAATCAAGGTATTTATTCTTGCAAGTAATGAAAACATATCAGAATATTCAATTTTAGTTTCTATAGGACATTTTCAATCCAGTCAGTAAGTTTGAATGAATTTCTTGATACAGTACTTTCGATTCACTTAGAAAATTATTTACGTGGATGTCCGAGTCCAAGATGATTGGGGGTTTATTCCTTATGTTTTCTCAACAAAATTTTTCTGTATACAGAAGCCTTGGGTTATTTTGTGACTTTCTTTTGATTTGTTTATTTTGCAGCTGACTAATTACTGCCATTTTTCTCTATATAGCCAGTCTTTGATGAAATGCATAGTCTATCATCAGTAATAAAACATTAGGTTAATGAACAAAGCTGGCCACGACACAATAGCTGAAATGTTTACATCTGAGAGGGATTAAGTTTTGTCCACAAAATTTTTTTAGAGCTTATACTAAAAAAAAATTCATCCCTTTCAATTTTGGGGCTCCATGAATATAGAATGTCTTTTATCTTCAATAAAAATATTCCCTCAAGTTGCTGATTAACATGCATAACTGTTATCCAGTATTACTGCTGATTCCGGCTATTGGAGAGTTCTAGGTTTGGGGGATTCCGGCTAACGGAAATATTACTGTACTACTGTACTCGCCAGTAGTTACTGTTGTCTTGTGCTTGTGATGCAGGCAGACCAAATGGTGATATGATGATACAGGATGGCCTGCTTTGGTCCTGTACCATTTACTGTAGCAAGTGTTGCTAACTATCACTCTCCTCTCCTATGAAGGAGGGATTATACATGCACTATATACTGTACTATACATGTAATGAAACTAAAAAGGTTGTGGAATAATCACTACTATACTCTAATATGGCTTAGAAATTAAGAAAATATAATATAAAACTTTAAAATAAGAAAAATTAAGAGCATGGGTGTGTGTGTGTGTGTGGCAAGTGATGTAATTGTACTCACCACTCAGTAGCACTGAGGGCGTGTGAGGCTGAGCTGTGGGCAATGTTATTGTTCAACTCGTAATATCAGATGAATACGAATTCCTTTTTTCTTTACTCCGATATGCACACATAATAAAAAAAATAATTGTCATAAGGTCAAAAACTTAAGAGAATAAACATTTTTTACGTGCATGGGAGTTAACACCAGGGAGGAGAGGGAGCAGCTTGGGGAATCTCGCAGTTGTTCGCTGTCTCATGTCCCATGTGTAGTGAAACAATTCCCAAATGGCAATGCAGTATTTTTTCTTTTATTCAATTTTTATTATAATTTGTATTTATTCCTCACATTCACTGATACAGTGTACACGCTACACAGTTCAGCCGGGCAGTCACCAACCTGACTCAAGAGACGTGTATGGCTGCTGCCTGTAGGCTGTGACATCACGTAGGGGGGAGGGAGAGTGCGGCTGGCCACAGTTACAGCTCACTGCCTCAATACATACATTCACTTCCCACACATACACCATGCTCTTCATTTTTCTTATTTTATAGTTTGATATTATATTTTCTTTATTTCTAAGCCACATTAGAGTATTGTAATGCTGCACACTTGGAGCACACAATCCCCCAGTTAGTCAAACATTGCTAAACTGAATTTTGGCCAATTGCTAAGAAAGAAAGGTACTAAAAATTTTACATCGCATAACCAAAACATCATTAAGTGAATGAATGTTAAACAATGGATACCTTTATAGCATTAGAACTTGCTTGAATTTACTCTTTACTTTGATGTTTGTAGATTTGTCTACTGGTCTCATCACCATAGCAGAACTCAAACTACAGTATATGTACACTGATGAAATTTTAACTGTAGTGCATGATATTCAAGAGTAATATATCATACAGAATACTGTATTACCTATATTGTATAGTCTCTGGAAGTGTGAGGAATAGCCAGTGGAACTTTGAATTATTGCCTGCTGACAGACTTCATTACTGCGTTGATAGTATTTAGGCATGCTCTTGTCTCGTTATTAGATCAGAATCCAAGAATGATACTATATGTACATCACATACATTTGGTCTTGCTTATTTGCTTGAGAAGATTTATCTCCATTTAAAATGATTAACAATAATAAATTGTGGTGTCTTGATACAGTAATTAATTTTGCCAGCCCTTGGTGTCATATTGTATAGGAATTGGTCTATACAGATTCTTCTTATACTGAATTTCAAGAATGTTGTAAGAATCGGCAACAAAATACCTTGATTACAAATAAGCATTTTCTTATTCTGATAACCTTTTTTTTTCCATTTAAAAGAATAGTTGCATGAAACTATAAAATACAAACAAAACCACATGACATGGTTCTCTCTATATATTTGACGCTTCACTTCCCTCCATACAAAATTATTTTTGCCCAGTTTTTAACTCCTCCTGTATGGGGGTCTCTGTTGGATAAAATTTCTGCCATTAGCCAAATAGAACATCTCTTTTAATTTATTGGTGACTGGGATATCTTGATAACTCTTGATTGTAATTTATTGAAATTTTTACACACATTACTTTCTGATTAATATGTGCACCTCCATATTTTCAGCACTACTATTCTCTATAATACAATTGGCTTTTGCATGATAACTGCTGTGCCATTTATGAGACCGTAAGGAACAGTCATTTGAATTATTCTTCACAGTGCCATGTGTAATTTGGATGTGCAATGTCATATTTTTTATTTATTTCCCTGCTGTATAATGAATGGCCCTTATAGTATCTGGAATGCATGAACTTTCATATGATACTCTTTGTCTTGCAAACATGTGTCCATTGATTCCAGCTGTACTTGCAAGTGGCCTGGACAGAACTGTGTTCATAGGGAGTAAGAGAATTATTTGGAAAGTAATACCAGGGATACATATAGTATCTTCAAACATATTTTATATAAGTATTTTATATACCAGTATGATATATGTATTTCCTGTAACTAATATACAGGGTGGTCCCCTAAAACTTGGAGAGAATAATACAGGACAGCACTGTGTTAATTTACATAATGTCTGGGTACAAATTGATGAATGTCTTTCACCAGAAAAAGTGAGATTTTCAGGGTACTGTACAGGTACATGTATCCTCGATAATCACGGGACCCGATAATTGCTGATCTGGCTTATCACGGTATCCTCAATTGCGACCGCGTGTACGCTTATCGCGGAATTATCACGGGACAGTGGCGGGTCTGCAAGAGCCAGCAATAGCAGCGACTGCCAAGAGATGGCAGCACGGCTCATGGCGCCATTTTCCAGCGATAACATTTGTTTCCCCACACTGTTTTGGTTGGTGTTGAAGATGGTTTCCTGCTCCTTGCTTGTTTTTGAAGTTGTAACCTTTACTTACCCTCCACCATGGCACCTGTGAACAAGAAGAGTGTTAAGGTTCCTGATCCAGCCAAGTGACGAAGACGTGTGTATTGTCTGGTTGAATGTTCTGATGTTCCCGACAAGGATAAGCACTCGCATGGCAACACACCCACTCTGTGTTACCACTTCCTTCCACTCCACCTCTCTCATCACCCACACCCTTCTACTTTCTCACTCCATAATTTAAAATTTATGTAACGTAATGTGGAATGAATACGACATTGTTCATTTTACTTACACTCAATTTTGTGGGTAGACATCAGCTGTTCAGTTGTGTCTGGCAGGGCTGCAGCCAGTGTTACCAAACAAACCAATTGATGCATCATCTCACCACTTAGCACAATCTCCCTCCACCACCACCATCACCACTACCTCTATTACCACCACTTAAATCATAATTTCAGTGATGGCTTTATTTAGCAAGAGCAGATTAGCACAATATCCACTGCCTCCCACCCACCTTCCTCCTCCCTCCCACCCACTGCGTCTCACCGACACTCTGCCTCTTAATCATTTTACTATGAATCGTTCATGATAAAATATTGTACAGTGCTGTACATTGCTTACGGTATTTGTTATTCATTAATTAGTACTGTATTATATCTTTTAGTGTACCTACACATTTTTCGGGGTATATTTTGGTCAGTTAGGGGATGCATCTTTGGGGTCGTGGGATGAAAATCATTTTTCCCACATGTTATGTGTTTTGATATACTGTATACGGTTTTGCTTATCACGGAAGTTTTCTGGAACCTGACTTCCGCGATTATCGAGGATACATGTAATAAGAAAATATACAGCCATTTCCACTGTCCTTGTTGACAGTTTTGACCCAGCAGCTCAACCTTGTCGTCACATGCAATATGCTGTTCTCTGACATAGGCTGGATGATCTTGTTGACCTTCCCCTCTTTGTATTTTGATGGTCTTTCTTTGAGGCAGCCATACAGAAAGTAGTCTTTTGGATTCAGGTTGGAACTGTGGTTAAGCCATGACTGCTCCCTACCAGCTTTTCTTGTGATCACTTAAGTCAGATATTGACCATGTGAGTTCCAGTCTC